AGAACTGGATTATGTATGCTATAGTCTACTGGATTGTGATGCTGTGTATTCTTCCAGGTAGAGGAACCGCCTACAAGACTACATAGTGCCACAACTCAAAAGACTACTATTGTGTGAACCTCAAATCTCAGATTATGGATGTTGTTTGTTTGACCATATTTTGCTGAAATTGCATTCAACATTTGCTTATTCATGGCTTACTCTAATGATGATAGTGACACTGAAGTCACATTGTGTTGTTGCAGGTTTGATTTTCTTGGCAACATTAATGGCTGTGGTTAGGGTTCGGCAACTGTACAAGCGCCAGTTAAGTGGAGAACCAGTTTCCCGACCTCACATAATGTTTCCCAACATACAGCGTTGCCATGCAGATCGTGATCTGCGAAGCTGTTTCAAGTACCTCTTGAATTATGGTTTTTACAAATTTGGTGTTGAGGTAGGTGAATTGATAGTTGTAAAACAAATATACTGTTGTAGATGTCTGTCTTGTGGATTATTGAACTTTGTAGTCTGGTAGAGTGCTTGTTGCCTGAATCATCAGGGTGACTCATTGCCCTGATGTTAGAGTCATCAAGCATATTTAAATTGCCAATAAACTGCTACCAGATTATGTGGCACAACAACCCAGAAGACAGGCATCTACATACTTGTCACCATGAGAACCTGAAATCTCAAATAGATTGTTCTTTGCAATGATGGTACCACTGATCTAAGAGATTGTTGTTTTCTCACTGTTAAATTTCACATGTCTTGTGTTGGAGTATCCTCCAGTTTTATTATTAGTGTATGTGGCCTTTGATCTTCCTGGGTAATTTTATTTCTTCCTCATCTAATTTACATTTTTAACATGAAGCTGACCATGTTTGTTTATCTGATGTCATTTAGTGCCTAAACTGTCTTATTTTCTCCATGGTGCAGTGGTTAGACACGGGCACGACTTTATCTAAGTACAATTTGATGTTTTCATGGCAGTGTGTTTGAAGATGGCTGTCTTCTGGGTTGTTGTTCTGTGTAGTCGGGTAGAAGTTTACCAGTGTTTCAGAGATCCTTGCTGAGTACTCTTTGCGCTGATGATGGAGGCAGCAAGGAGCTCTGAAACGTTGTTAAACTTCTACCAGACTACATGGCGCAACAACCCAGAAGACGTATGACGTTATCTGTTTGTTAACCATTTTATTGTCATGACCATGTGGCAAAATATTTACTAGAATTTCCAAGGTGTATTCTAAACTTAACACCATACTATTTAATGGCCTTACATGTTCCTGAAATGACCTACAGTGAACAAATAATTATGCCAAATGAAAACTTATTTACTTCCACTTTAATACACTCACTGCCAAACATGTTAAACAACATTTTTGTTATGTCATACTGCCAATGCCAAACATGCCCATTGACATTTCAGTGCTGATATGCACATAATTGCTCATATATCCTAGAGATGTGACCCAAATACATCCAATCTTTCAAAGATAATGAAAGAAGCTTTGATGTACTGATTTTTAAATTAACAAATGGTACTCTCTTGCAAAACAATTTCCTGTTCCTTTGTAAACATGTGGTTGCCATGTGTGTTTGAAGTTGGCTGATGTGAAGTGTGGAAAACTCATATGTTTATGTGGATAGCTGTACAAAGTAGCACCCACAAAAGCAGTGTTAAAGGTAACCCAATAATTTCATCCAGTTATTTCTAATAGTTTCTAAGATATTAATTATTTTTGTACTCATGATATATACATGCCCATATTGAAAAATGGCTGGCACATGGCACTTAAATCCCTTCTGTTTAGCATGGCAGTAAATGTGTTAACTGTTTGCTTTATCATTATATTGATTGCAGCAGGACTTTGTTTATATGCCCTTTATGCAGCTTGCTTCACTACGTCTGATGCTTCAGGGTAGATTTAATTTTACATACTTCTACTGTTTAGGCTTGAAAGAGGGTTGAGATAATATGTATCACTATAAACAATTTATTGACAGAATGCCTAAAGTGTCTTTAAAACTATCCTGTGTTGTTGTTCATTGATGATGAGAGAATAATGCATGCCTACGTTATTGTGGAATGCTATTGTGGCTGTTATATGGCATGCCCAGGTTTAAATGACGTGAACTGTGCATTTCCAATCAGCATTTTTGCTGTAGTGTATGTGTTACTATAACTGTCTTTTGTTTCAGATCTGTCTAATGGCAACTGTAGCTCTGATTGGTACTCGTATGGATTTGTATGCTGTGCTGTATGGGGTATGGCTCTGTGTGCTGGTCATTATGAACCGAAAGAAACTGGCCAAAATTTGGGGCATCTTCCAGGTGTTCATTGTAATGCTGATACCCATTCAGTATGCCATGGCTGTAGGCTTGCCACCTGCATTATGCATAGGTAAGAAACATATTCATCTATTACTTGAAGCTTTCACTGGTCTAAAATTGATAACATTTTCTCAGGTGATCATCCACATAAATTCAGAGCAGAAGTCCAAAGTTGAAGAAACCATTTTTATCTCCAACTTCATGAAATGATGTACACATGAGGGAAGCTAAAATGGTCTCCAAAACATGGACTTTTCTCCAAGCTGGCATAGCTGATTGCCTGAGAGAAACAAAAAATTCACTTCCAACAGATTTGGGTCTGGTATCAATTATATAATTGACATTTTATTTTATAATCTTTTTTATTTTGTTCACTTTTTTAATAAAGAGTGGCAATTACTTTTTTGTTTGGAGTGTTTAAGAAATATTACTGAACAATATTAGGTAACATGTAATATTCTTAAAACTTTGCATACCGTGTAGTGTATTAGAATATAAAATAAGCAAACTATTAACACTATAAAAAAGACACTATTACCATCTGTTGGTCTGGTGACCATAGCTGGTCTGTGGCAAACTGTGGTTGCGTCGTCCGTACCTGTGAACTCCAGAATCATGGATTCTGGAGTTCACAGGTACGGATCAATAGCTAAGAGCAGAGTTCCACTTCTGTGAATAACAACATCTAGTGCAGTATCGCTTGAAATACTTTTGTGAAATACCCTATTCATTATTTTTTTTCTAAATCCAGTTTAAACCATTTGATTAAATCAATAAATTTTCCTTGATGCCACTGATGATGACCTCTTGAGGTTGAAACATGTATGGCAATAGTGTCTTTTTTATAGTATTAATAGTTGTTTGTTTGCTTATTTTATATTCTAACATGTAATATGTCATCAGAGATGAGCAAAATATGGCCAGCAAAAAATTGTATAGTCATAAGTATTGTTCACAGCACATTTTGTCAGGTGCTGTTGAGTCATTGCCAGAAGAGGGTTAATATATATCATAACTACTTTGTTTTACATTGTACTCACTTTGTAACTAATAAGTCATAATGTTTTCCAGTATATAACCTCTCACCAGTTGATAGTGTTATGAAGTGAACAAAGAATCCTCTGTGCAGCATTGTGGAAGAAAGCTGTCAAGTGATACATTTGTTCTCATACAATCGTTGAACATAAAAAAAATGAAATTACCCTGTTGCAGAATATCCTTGGAACCAGTCGCTGATACTGAGGAATCTACAGGAGTGGATGTTCTTGCCTGATCCTGTGTATCCTCCAGCAGCCTATAAACTTGTCTGTAAGTAGATTGCTTCTGAAGAAATTTCAGGATTTGATAGTGGTCCATACTAATTGCAGAGACTTGTGGATGTAATGTGATTTTAAAATGATAAAATCTTATATCCTTCTTCTGTGAACACTACATGCCATTAGAAGCAGCATTAATAAGCTTTAATTTGGAAAATTGACAATTCAAGATGATCATATGCCAGTTATGTTTACACCATGCTCTCTAGTCATTTATAAGCATTAGAGTAATTCTTGACCAGTCATAAGTAATGATAATCTCTTGTATTCCTAGACAAACATTGTGACACTTACTTATCAGTTACTTTGACTGTGAAAAGGGGGGCTGCAAATTCCTCTGAAATGTTGATAATGTTCAGAAGATTCTATAATGTATTCTTTGTGAAGGATTTAAATATCTTTAAGAATTTAAAATGTGTATTGTTGTTAAGTTATATTGTGTGTCAGACAAGCAGTAATAATGCTTCACACCCTCAGTAGACTGTAGTTCATAATATATTTTTGAAAGTGTTGGTGTAGCACATAATGAAAGCTGCACATGACATGTATTGTTTAAAATGCTGTGAATATCTTTGTCATCATCATCATCATCCAGTGCTCTACCAAATTCTTCTGTCACAGATATTGAAAAACAATATCTAACTTCTTTGATAACTTTAAGTATCTCCTTCCATTGGGTTCAATTTTCATCTCTCTTCAGAGATCATTTGTCGAGTATGTTTCCACTGTCTTCTTTAATGTTGTTTAATATCTGTGTCATGTAAAGTTTATAATGTAATATTAGATAAATTTGTAATTCTTCCTTTACTTCTTCATTTATTTTATGGTTGAATACCAAATACTGGCAGACTGATAGTAGTTACTTGGGAGTCAGTTGTGGTAAGGTTTTGCAGTATTGGACCAACTGTTAAGTGCAGCAAATTTTTCTTTATGTGTTGTTTACCCACTTAACAGGTGACTTTGTGTTGCTGATGCTGGTATGTCGGCAGAGTCTTGTGTTCCGAATAGAGAGACGTTATGCCGGGCAGATCTATGCAGGTGGTAGTAACAAGAGTATTCTAAAAGAAACAGAGCAGCCAGGATTTATTAATCCTGTACCAGATCACATATCTTATGTCAGGTAAGAAATAGACATGATTCAAGGTAACAGAATTGTACTGTTTGTTTCTTTATGTTGTTTCAACCATTTTATTATCAGGCCTATCCAGCAAATACATGTAGCATTTCTCCATAGGAATTGCTGGAATTGTGCAGACCTTTACTTAAAAATTCACTGTAAATTTAACCCATTGGCATTCTGCTTGATTTCATCTGTATGAAATGCTGTATAAAATTCAGGTATTACTAAATAAATGCCTCAAAATTGTCACAGTACTTCCCTGTAGGTGAAACTTGCGTATGCCTTCATGACATGGTCAACTTTACCATTGAAGATGGCTGTCTTCTAGGTTGTTGCACCAAGTAGTCTGGTAGAAATTTACAGACCCTGATAATGGAGGCAGCAGGGACCTCTGAAACATTGGTGTACTTCTACCAAACTACACATTGCAATAACCCAGAAGACAGCCATCTTCAGACTCACCACCATAAAAACCTCAAATCCTAACTTTATTAGTACTTGGCATAAATCCAAATTTCTAATATTGTGTAGTTTCATATATTTTAATCTTTACATTTGTATATAGTGTATGTCCCAGGAGACAGGAGCAGATACCAGATAGACTATATCTTAGTGAAGCAACAATTTAGGAATAGCGTAAAGAATGTGACAACAGTGCCATCAGCGGACATCGACTCAGATCATAATATGTTAGTTGCAAACGTCAGCACCAGAATGAAGAAAATCAGGAGTAGGGGGGTGAGGAAGAAGAGATGGGACCTGGAGAACCTGAAGAGCGCGCGAGACGAAGTAAGAGCAGAATTGGAAGGAAAATTAAGTGAAAGTGAAGGCGAAAGCGTTGAAGAGGAATGGACAAATGTCAAGAAGTGCCTAACAGTGGCACTAGAAGAAAAGGTTGGTAGGATGAAAAGGATACCAAGGAAGGCATGGATTACACAGACTATGCTCGATAAGATGGATGAGAGGAGGAGATGGAAGACAGAAATATCGAAGACTGAACAACGAACTGAGAAGAGAAACAGACAAGGCGAGAGAAGATTACATCAACGAAGTATGTGATGAGATAATGACACTCCAGAGAATTGGAAGATACGATTTGATGTATGCAAAGGCGAAACAACTAGGATGGAAAGAGAACAAAGGAATTCGAACACAGGAAATAGAAGACCCATCAGGAAAGATAGTCAGTGACCAGAATGAAGTTAAAGCTGTGTGGGAAAATTATATTGAAGAGCTCTATGACAAGGCCAATCGACTGGATGAGAAGGAGATGGAATTGGAGCCAGAAGAAGAAGTAGA